GATATTGCGAGGAAACGCAAAAGTATTGAGAGGGAACGCAAAGATATTGCGAGGGAACGCAAAAGTATTGCGAGGGAACGCAAAGATATTGCGAGGGAACGCAAAAGTATTGCGAGGGAACGCAAAAGTACTGCGAGGGAACGCAAAAGTATTGCGAGGGAACGTAAAGGTGTTGCGAGGTAACGCAAAAGTATTGCGAGGTAACGCAAAAGTATTGCGAGGTAACGCAAAGATATTGCGAGGTAACGCAAAAGTATTGCGAGGTAACGCAAAAGTATTGCGAGGTAACGCAAAGGTATTGCGAGGTAACGCAAAAGTATTGCGAGATAACGCAAAAGTATTGCAAGGTAACGCAAAGATATATTGCGTGGGAATGCAAAGATATTGCGAGGTAACGCAAAGGTATTGCAAGGTAACACAAAAGTATTGCGAGGTATTGTAAAGGTATATTGCGTGGGAACACAAAGGTATTGTGAGGTAGTGCAAAAGTATTTTGAGGTAACACAAAAGTATTGCGAGGTAACACAAAAGTTTTGCGAGTTAGCAAAGGTATATTGCGAGGTAACGCAAAAGTACTGCGAGGGAACGCAAAAGTATTGTGAGGTAACACAAAGGTATATTGCGTGGGAACGCAAAAGGTATTGTGAGGTAACACAAAAGTATTGCGAGGTAACACAAAAGTATTGCGAGATAACGCAAAGGTATATTGCATGGGAACGCAAAGGTATTGCGAGGTAACGCCAAAGTGTTGCGAGGTAACACAAAAGTATTGCGAGGTAACACAAAAGTATTGCGAGGTAACACAAAGGTATATTGCATGGGAACGCAAAGGTATTGCGAGGTAACGCCAAAGTGTTGTGAGGTAACACAAAAGTATTGCGAGGTAACACAAAAGTATTGCGAGGTAACACAAAAGTATTGCGAGGTAACACAAAAGTTTTGCGAGGGAACGCAAAAGTATTGCAAGGTAACACAAAAGTATTGCGAGGTAACACAAAAGTATTGCGAGGTAACACAAAAGTATTGCGAGGTAACGCAAAGGTATTGCAAGGTAACGTAAAAGAAAAAAATCCCCCCATGTTCCCTCGTGAGCTCCGTATTTTTAAACCAAAGAGAATTTTTATTTGTTTAAAATTTAATCGGTTTAAAGTTAAACTTGTTTCCTGAACCTGGTTCATGAGATATTTTACTAACAAACAGAAATGTCTGCAAAGAGTTAATAGTAAAATTAGAAACAAAGATCTTAGTGTTATTATGTTATGTGTGATTATGTTATGGTTCAGTCTCTCAGGTACTACCAATAAATTTTAGGTCAAAATCTGTCAGGTTGACTAAGTTAGATTATTATTTGTGTTTTTTTATATCAGCTGTCGGTGGCGGCCATCTTGAATCAGTTTTACTCTGTTCAGTCGTTACTTTCTGCATATTTTATTTGAATTTTTGTCCAGTGGTTAGGGAAATACTTTCTTGCTCACCTTTTGCTTTTCAACGACACATAATAATTATTTATTTTTCTTCACATGAAGCAGTTTTTGCCTGAAAATCATTCTTGTTTTCAGCCGTTTGTCTGGATCGTTGTAAATATGATTCTGCTTTTCTTAGCTTCCTGGCTTTTTGCCAAAACCACTTTGAGTTTCTTTCTCACTGCTCATCTTAAATCGTCTCTGTATCTGTCTGCGTGCATCCATCTGTGTGTGTGTGTGATTATTTTCAACCTTGTTAGGCGTGATAAGGCGGGGGATGGTGATGGTGGTGGTCTGAGGCCATCAAAGCCTCAAAGCCCCGAGCTGCACTAAAGAGACGATGAACTCTCTTCTGCACTTGTTTTCATCCTCACACAAACAAGAATAGAACACACACACACACACACACACACACACACACACACACACACACACACACACACACAATTGTTTTCTTCACTCCGCTCCAGGAAAGAGGAGGATTTGAAAGCACTTCTGTAACCTTCAGTCAAGCAGGACAAAAACAAAATCAAACTAAAGTAGTTTTGTTTTGTGTTTTCATGTTTTAAAGAGAAAAAGGTTCAAAACCAGAGAAGTAAAGAAAACAATAAAGATTTTATTAAAAGGCTCATTTAGACTGAGGATTCACTTCCAATCAGCTGATGCACCAAACCACCTCTGTCATTTGTCCCCCTGTTTTTGGCTGCATAATTAGATTGGATGCATTATGATGGATAATGTGTTGCCGCTCCATAAAGTGCCCTTAATGCTACAAAGAGACTGCAGTGGCTGCTGTTCGGAGTGCAAAGTGAAGTTCCCCCGCAGAATAACAGACGGCTTTAATAAAAGGGCGCCGGGCCATATTCCTCGTGACAACAGACACACTCTGTCCAGCCTCTTAAGCCTTTGAGAAGTGGTCCTCACTTTGCTGTCCTTGGATGAGAGCACTCCCCCTAAGTCATGTCAATTAGTCAGTTTAAGCTCTTTGCTCTGTCAGTGTTTTCCTTTTTGTTCCTTTATAGTTGTCAATTTAGTGGCAAATTACTCCTCATAACTCTTTGTGTGTGTGTCTGCAGGGTGATGAAGTGCTGACTGTCATTAAAACCAAGGCTCAGTGGCCGGCGTGGCAGCCGCTCAACCTGTGAGTATCCCACAGAGAACATTAGGAACCTAATATGAACAAAACAATGGTGCTTCACCTCTTAAGACCCAAGGGCTTTTCTTGAAGTTTTTGCTCAAAATACTGCACCATGCTGAAATGTAACTGAGTGTGTGTCTCCACATTTACAAAATCTACTTTAATAATCTTGGCATCAAAATAAAGCAACACTTTGGAGATTTTATTAGAAGTGTGAGTTTTAAAACAGCTGCTGTTGTTTTATAGACATTGAGGATGGAACAAAATCTTATTTTCATTCTCACCTGAATAATTTTTTCATTAGACAGTATATAACCCATTTAAAACCAAAATGAATCAGACTAAAAACTCTTGGAAATCATAAACCCACTTGTGAACATTACCTGTGCAAACATTCGTGCTGCTAAAACTAACTGGAGCAAAGTTACAGAGGTTTTAGTAAAGAAATAATTTTGTCATTCTGCACAGGACAGACCATGATGGTAACATTAATAAATGTTAAGAAATCTGAAGGTTTTTATTGCAAAAGTTATTTATTTTTTCTTACCTGCCTGAAAAGACTTGTTATTAAATGTTTGTTCTTTTGAAAAATTATCCAAATGTTTATTTGTCACCATATATATTACATAAAATAATGAGAAATTATATTTGACTTCAGTTGGATCATATTCACTCAAAATCAAGTGAAAAAAAACCTTTACAACGTATTTAGGTATCTACTTTGAATTGCTTTAAAAAATGTCAAAAATGTTTCCTTTACTTTCTTTTGTTGTATTTACAGATTTGCAATGATGCCATTTTTGTACAGTTTGTTTACTTTCTGATTCAGCTGCCTGTCATTTGAACTGTGTTTGGTGAATGTAAATTTAGTCTCCATGAGGTTTTAGCCAAGATTCTTAGGTTTCTTTTGATACCAAACATGTCCAGGTTCAACTGACAGATCTGAAGTGAAAATTATTTATAGGAGAAAAAAACAGGAAAAGCTGTTTTACTCAAGAGGTTAAAGGCAAATTATGTAGTATGAAACACCTTTTTCTGTAGATTTATTGAATGTAATTGTAAATTATAGGGAAACAAAATGTGACGGAATCATTTGATATAAGGGAAGCTGCTGCTAAAATGCAGAAAATGTTCACCAAAATCTAGTGTTTTGACAAAACAGTGCAGAAATCTTTGCAGGTGGTTCTGTGTGTCCAAACGGTGATCAGTAAAACTGCAGCAGAAGCTGCTTTGTTCTCCTCTTGAAGAATTCAACAGCAGTGAATTTCTAGAACAATCATACATACAAGAAGTTTATTCACTTGTTGAGAACTCTGTGCTTCTTACAAATAAAGCTCTGTTGGAGGAAGGAAGAAAACAAAAACTCCAATCCTCACTTATAGAAGCCGACTTGTTTGCCTCAAGCAGAGCAGTTCAACAGACATCAGTGATGGTTGGATGGAGCCAGAGACAGAGCTTCACATCAGGGTCTTGTCTGCAGAAATGAGGGTGTTGCTCCGGTCTGTAAAGGTGAACAAGGTGCTGAGCCAAAAGGCAAACTCTCAATTTAAAGCCCTAACTCACAAAGCTGCAGCTGTTGGGGAAGTTTTAAAAAAAATCTCTCAAAGTTGTGAGAAAAATGTCAAGTTTAGTGACTTTCCCCCTGCATCTAACCAGCAAATACATTCTATTTTACAGCAGTTAGGCCAAAAAATATATCATCATCATCACTAAACTCTTTATAGATATTTTTCAAAGTAAACATAACATTTCTAACATAATAGTCGCTTTTGAAGTTCCTGGAGATAATTATTATTATTATTTATGTCATTTTCTAAAGTCATTGTTCACAGCACGCTTAGAAATTTGCACCGTTTTGTTTGTAAGTTCCATAGAACAAAGAGTCATTGTCTTTTTGAAAAGCTGCCTCTATGATTTCCATAAATTTGAAAAAAAGGGACAAATAAAGAAACAATTTGCTTTTATTGCTGAGCTTCTACAACAGATGAATCTTATTTTTCTTTTTGATCATGTGACAAAAAGCTTAATCTGCATCGTGAGCAAGTCCTTAATTAGCACAAACAATTAGTGGAACTTAAAAGTTCAGGAATAATTTCTGTTCCAACCCAATGCATGAGCTGTTTGTTGTAATCGTAGTGCAGAAACGATTGTAACGTCTGAAATAATAATCTTTATCGTCGCGCTCTTTATTCCTCAGAAGCAGCAGACGGGTTTGGATAAATAACGAGACGCTTTAGCATCCTGCGTTCTGCCTGGAATTAGCTCAAGAGCAATTAAAAACTTATCACAATCATAGCCCTCAGGACTGCAGGAGCACACACACACACACACACACACACACACACACCAAACATCTGTTTAATTGCCCCTCCTAGCATTGTTTGCCATTTGTAACATGACGTGCCTGTATTATTCCTACTAATGACACACGCCTGCACGCACAGACTCACACAGACACACACAGACTCACACAGTCACAGACTATAAAACATCGGCCCATTTTTTCTTCATTTTTTTATGCACAGTTGTCAACTTGTCATCACATTATTCTGCGAGTGTTTATGCTCGTGTCTGAGTTATAATGAGATAATTAGGTCAATAAGATGTATTTTTTTCTGCAGAGACATTTCAAATTACCTCATTATTGTGTTCATAATATGTCACTGCAGTCATTGTGTTGCAGGCATGCAGAGAGAATACAACATAATGGGACATTTTCTGCTTCTAATTGGCTTTTTCAGAGGTGCAATTATGAACCAATTAGCTGTGTGACTCGGGGGTCAGAGGTCGTGACACAAGAAGAGGTCGTATTAAACGGTTATATTTAAAACTCGTTTTGTTACTTTTCAACCGATCCATTCAGGCGCGCAGCTCCGTCGGCAGAGTTCTCTGTGGACCGGACGCGACACCTCATGTCCTTCCTCACCATGCTCGGGCCCAGTCCGGACTGGAACGTGGGACTGTCAGGGGAGGACCTGTGCACCAAGGACTGTGGCTGGGTCCAGAGACTCGTGACGGATCTGATACCGTGGGACGCAGGCACAGACAGCGGCGTCACGTATGAGGTGAGTTTCACGTTTTCATCATGCATGTATCTGACGGGTGAACCGTTCAGGATGGAAACAAGTTAATAAACCTGAGACAACAAGTAGAGATTTATCTGTGGAGATGAAACTAGATACAGCCTAGTGGTGGCGTCCATGACCCCCCCACGTACACAAAGCACCAATCACCAGAACTCAGAGCACACCAGAAAAAATATTGTTTTGGGTGGTGGTCCGGGGCGGGGAGGGGGCTCAGTGGTGGGCCTGATGAACGGTCCTTCCTCAGAGCTGAACCAAAAGAAAAAAAAGTTTTTTTGTTTAAAGGGAACCCTGATTAGTTGTAAATTAGACTTTATTTGATAAACATATCTGTCTGTAAAATAACTGTAAAATAAAGACTGTAAAAACACTGTAGGCTGTTTAGTTTTGTAAATTTTTAAAAATATATTTTAACACGTACGGAGCCATTTTATTTCCACACAAAGCATTCTGGGTAAATGATGACGTGGATAGGTCCTCGGTGCGAGGCTGCTAGCGAGCTATATCCACCCTGAAGGTTAATCTTGGACAATATCTGATGATCGACTCTTTTAAATGAAACCAGAGAGCGTTGACAGAGAGGAGAAGGTAGAAATGACTCAGCCTGGAACTGAAAATATGGATGGAGGACAACAGAGCTGCTTCATGGAAGAACAACCTCAGCTTAGCCTGTTAGCCTTTGCGCTAATGCCGATGCTATATTGCCTTATGTGAAATAGCTCGGCGCTAGCGCGACAAACAAGCTAAAGTGAGGTCCTCCATCCATATTTTCAGTTGCAGGCTGAGTCATTTTTGTGTTCCTCTCTCTGTCATGTGAATGGAGGACCTCAGTGATGAGAGGAGAATGTGTAGCGCTGAGCTAATACATATATATATGGTGATAGCATCAGGGCTAACACTAAAGCTAATAGGCTAAGCTGAGGTTCTTCTTCCATGAAGCAGCTCTGTTGTCCTCCATCCATATTTTCAGTTMCAGGCTGAGTCATTTCTACCTTCTCCTCTCTGTCAACGCTCTCTGGTTTCATTTAAAAGAGTCGATCATCAGATATTGTCCAAGATTAACCTTCAGGGTGGATATAGCTTGCTAGCAGCCTCGCACCGAGGACCTATCCACGCCATCATTTACCCAGAATGCTTTGTGTGTAAATAAAATGGCCCGTCTGTATAGTGTATTTTTAAACTTTTAGTTTAAAAATGATAAAAACTGAACATCCTACAGTATGTTTATAGTATTTATTTTACAGTTAAAAGATATATTTATCAAATAAAGTCTTAATATTACAACTAATCATGGATCCCTTTAATAGTTTATTCATTTAGATTAAAAACAAAAATTTCAATACAACAACAACAAAAAAGAAACACAAAAATAAAAATAAAATTAAAAAATCTGAAACTCTTATCTTGAATAATTTTGCATGCAGGGGTCATAATTATGGTTCATAAAAAATAAAATAAAATAAACTGTAGTTTGAGTCGCCCCCTGCTGGCTGCTTGATAAAATGCATGTTTGAGACGCAGCTTCACGTCAACCTTGAAGCTGTCTTCATCTAATTTGAAGGATTGTCGATGATGTTTGTATGAAGCTGCATCCTTATCAAACTGCCACATCAGAGCTCTCCTCTTCCTCCTGTCTGTCACCGAGACGACTCCTTTACTTCCCACAACCTTGGAGTGAAAAGGCGCTCATCTATATTCACCTGCTGTTTGGGGAATAAAGCAATTTATTTATAGTTTACATGAATAAGCAAAGAGTTTATTCTGCAGAGGAGCTTTTTAGAACATTATAGAATAAAATGCAGCAGGTCTGCACCACTAAACTTTTATATTTTAAAATTTAAAACAGGGCTATTCAACAGGTGGTTTTACTTAATTTAGTATATAAATAGACCTCGACTCAGGAATGATTTAGTTAAATAGCCCTGCCTTCAACAGTGCAGGTCCTGTAAAAATACAGCCTAAATACAGATATGTTGTGCATTTTGAGAATAAATTTAGTGAAAAACTATTGTCTGAATGAGTCTTTCAGACCTGGAACATGTTTTATCTTAGCTGGTAAATTCAATAAAAAAAACAGTTTTCTTGCCATATAACTTTTTATTAGTGGCTTTATTTTGAATTACTGTCACAGAAATGTTATTTTGCTGAAGAGAAACGATGTCTTTCTGAGAGGCCTGTTTCACAGTCATCCATCCCCGTTATCCCACCATTAGGCAGTATTCTTGTTCCACAAATAATCCCCAGGCTCCACATTTTGGCAGCTTGAGCCTGATTATGTTGACCATTCGTCAGTGGAAGTCTGAGTTTCTCCTCCCTCCGGGCTGCTTCGTGCACAAAATAACTGCAGATACTTTCCTCTGGATTCTTACAGCTGCTGTGTGATTTACATAGTGCTAATGTGGGAGGAGTCTCTTAAATCATGACCTGGTTCTCGCCCGTTGTCGTATCTGCACGTGCAGTTTTACACCAGAGTAAAGAGCTGGATAAATGCTGGGTCAGCACTTTGTTACTAACAGCCAAAAGACAAAGTTTGATCAATTTATTTGTTTCGTCCCTTTAAAAAGGGTTTTAACACCAAGATGATCATCAGATATTAGCTGAGAATCAGATGTAGTTAAGGATTATTGTTCATTATCTGGTTTATTTGATGGAAATAGCTCAGGTTTGCAGCTCACACATGCAGAAAATGCAGCCAAAGTTTAAAGAAAACTTCTGATGAAGACCACCTCAAAATATGAAAAGTATGCAAAGAGGCTCTCTTAAAACAAAAACTAAAGAAATGAGAGTTTTACAAAGTACTTCCTGTTGGCTGTCTGTGCTTTGAAGCTTTATTTTTTTAAGCACAATCAATAACAATACAAGCCTTTGTCATCCATTTAGTATTGATGGAGCTGCTGGGCCTGAAAATATCACTGAAACGGTAATAAAATATTACAGGCAGGTCTTTAATTGTGTAAAGAGTGATGAGTTTGTGATGCTGTTTGTAATGACTGTTTGATAATTAGACCTAATGAAGCGTGCCGTACAGATGAATCATTGACTTTGAATGAAGCACGTGACCTTTAGCAGAAATCAGAAGAATCTCAGAGCTTTTAATCCACTGATTCCTCCGTATCTGCTCATTTTATTAATATTAATGGGACAGACAAAGCCAGCCCTGAAAACTACTGTTTATTTGCACAGACTGACAATATCCAAGCAAATAATCGATTTTACCTAAAAGTAAAGTTGAAAAAAGTCCATATGTTCAATGATTCTCATAAATTAAATAAGCATGTGGGTCTCATATTAGTGTTTACATAGAAACAAGTTTGGTCCAAAAGATCAATAAGCTTTAAAGCTTCTTTTTATTGTGTGTCAGAATAAACTCTCTTTTTATCTTCTCTGTTGTTTTAATGTGTAGCTTCACGTGTTTAAACAGATCAAACAAATTCTGATTTTATGTAATATTTCTATTTTACAAAACGTCAAATTTTGCATTGAACTCCTTCATTTGTTTATTTTTCAGTCACCAAACAAGCCCACCATTCCTCAGGAGAAGATACGACCCCTGACCAGTTTGGACCACCCTCAGAGCCCATTCTACGACCCAGAAGGAGGGGCCATCACCCCCGTGGCTCGGGTGGTTGTAGAGCGGATTGCCAGAAAGGTATGGTTGTTCCGGGGTTCGAAGAAACAACATTTCAAAAGTACAAACGTTTGTTTCTGTTGTCATGTAGTCAGGGGCGGAGCTTGACGGGTGGCCACTGGCCAGGGTGTCAAGTTTCACCCCGGCACTTAAAGTGCCTGTGACATATACTTCAAATACAAAAACTCATAGAAAACATCTTTATACTTAAGAAAATTGCCCTAATACACATGATTTTGTCCATTTTGTCACATAACTGGCCTGTTTTCTTTTGAATTTGTCTCAGCCAAAGTAAAACAGGAAGTGACATCAAAGGGGAAATCTTTAACAAAATAAAATCTTTGGTCTTTGTTTATTAAAACAATATTATTTAAACTTTTAACTCTTTTCCATCTCTCTTTGACAGAGAATCAAAATAATGTAAAGAAACATTAGATTCTTCTCTACAGTCTGTTGTTAGCCATTGTAGCAATGCTCTGTTTACATGCAGATATTCCCCCTTTGACATCACTTCCTGTTTCTTCACACGCGAATATCTCAACAACTGTTCATCTCAGTGGGATGAAATTTGTTTTGCAATATGTTATCAATGTTATCTTTCCAAAAATGCATTCATGCTTATCTCAAAAATCTGATGTCACAGGCTCTTTAAATGGCCACCCACAAATAATTGGCAAGTGGGCAGGGATCTTGGATTTTGTATTTGAATTTAGATTTTGTTAAACATTTTCTGATACTACTGTACTTTATACTACTGTACTTTATACTACTGTACTTTATACTACTGTACTTTAAGCTGTGTATGTTTGACATAGCTGACATATAGCCTCTTGTAAAATTAGCATTAGCGTTAGTAATTAGCTTAACATTGGGAATTAGCATGTGATCATTCTTAGGTACTCCACAATAAATTTTAACACAATAAGTGCTAAGATGACTTTATTATAGTCATTTAAAGTTGGCTGTGGTGGCCATCTTGATTTTTTGATTGGCATTTATTTGGTAGATAAGTTGGTAAAGATTGTTTTTGGCTAATGCCACTCTAATCTTCGGCTTTTTATGTCAAACAATGGCTGAATAATAAGTTGTTTCAGCTTAATATTTCTTAAAACAGCTGAAATAAAAACCATTTGGAATTAGCTGTGGTGGCCATTTTGAATTTTCAAAATGCAGAGTCCTTTTCTTTTTTTGTTTGTGTCCTTCTTAAAAAAACATTCTGTGACTCTGATATTAAAACCTTATTTTGTGCCAGTAGTTTGTGATTTTAACTTCCTGTGTGCAGGGAGAGCAGTGCAACGTGGTCCCAGACACCATCGATGACATCGTCGCTGATATTGGCCAAGAGGAGAAGGAGGAAGGTAAAGTTAAACAATAACACGCTCGCTTTGTTGCAGCCGGCTGGGGGGGACCCTGAGCGGAACACAATAACTTTCAGAGCTTAATGAGGCGTTCCCTTAATAATTCAAACCTTGTCATTATGTGATTCCTTCATTTTCTTTAAAATTGGTTTCCTCTAGATCACCGTGTTTACAAAACATTTTAATTTAAATGATAATTTTTTACCATTTTCGCTTATAGCTCACAGACTGAGCAGACATTGTTCAGACTGCAGGTTTTTTTTTTTCTAATCGAGGACACGCACTCGGTTCGTTACAGATGGTTTCAGGGGAAACTCAGACTGGAGGTCAGATCTGAATGTTTGATTTTACCTCCATCTTTGTTGCGAGAATGTGAGATTGTTGATGCAAAGCAGTGCAGTCAGGAGGAAATCCTGCAGAAAACACAAACATAGCATTTACTCAGTGGTGGGCAGCACTAATGTAAAAATTAGTCCGCTAGCCCTAAAAGTTTTAGCAAAAGCTAATTCTAAAGCACTAAAATAACCCAGTCAACCCATGAACATTCTTCAACAGACAACATGAGTCACATGTTGCCATGTTGCTCTCTTAAGACTTATCATTGACATTCCTCAGCTGTGTTTGGGTTCATATATTGTCATTATGTCACCTGGTGGATGAGTGACAGTTTTCACCCTCAGCTGTTAACATTAATGTTGATCAATAACATTTATAGATCTCAGTTGGTGCTTCTAAATTTAGCCTATAAATCTACCAAGTGATAATCCACTAAAATTTTAAAATTAGCAAAAGCCCTAAAGCACTAATCAGGAATATAGTTCCCCTATCAGTGCTTTAGAGCAGAGATTCTTAGGCCGTGAGCGCCACCTTGAGGGCCTCAAAAGAACCACAGTTTTTAACTTTGGGCTGCAGAGGGCCGCATTGATTTTGAATAAGGTGCAATACACTTTCTCACCACTAGTAGCAGTAGTGCACCACTCAGATGTTTAACAACTTTTTAATACGTAGAAGAAGAACCTTAGAAACCTGCTGAGAATGGAAACTTATTTTAAATGAAAAGAAGAAGCAAAAATGAAAGTAACTCATCAAAAAACACTAAAGTTTGTCACTAATATGCAGTACAGCTTCTGGTTTTACCATGCAGTATTTTAAAAGTTCAAAACATTATCAAATACAGTTGCAGATACAACTATATTTTAATTTGCACTTTAAATTAAAAAATTTTAAACATTTTGAATGTATTTTAGAGAAAATTTAAACTTGTCAAAAAGCTGTTGTTACTGTTATTGATTGTCACTAATAT